GCCGCGCCGGCTCCTCGGGGCCGCTGCGCGCAGACAGGTAACGGGCCGAACCGGGGAGGGTGGGTGCGTGGTCTGGGGCTGGGGATGCTGCAGGAAACCTCTTCTGAACTGGCTTTTCTTGCCGAGCTCGAGGAGCTCAGTGCTGAAATCCACATCTGTGCGTGCTGCTCAGTAAAGGTCTTAGGCTCGAGTTCTTTAGCTTCTCACACAAACTAGGGCCGTTTAGGGAATGCACTGGAGTAAAAGGAGATGGCTCAGTCTGGGTTTACATAGAGAACATGTTCAGTTCCAGAGGAGTCTTGGAGCAGTTTGGCTCGTGGAGCTGAAAACTGGGCTCTCCGTCGCCCTTAAAATGTGAAATGAATCCCAAGGTTCTGTTGACCAAAGGAGAGGCCGGGGGTTCACGAGCAGGAAGCTTTTCTGCCTGTCCTTGTAACCTAAAGCCGACCCGTAAGGACTAGTGAACATGGGACAATGCTGGTGGGCAGCGCGGTGGCCGTGGCCACTAGATGTCACTGCTGCTGTGCAGGAGGGCACAACGGCGTCGGAATCCCCAAGGAAAGCTCCAGCACGGGCACAGTGGCGACTCTTGCTCGGAACAGAGACCGGAATGCTACATGGAGCCAAAAGGAAAATGAAAAAGAAAGGGAAAAACAAATCCGTAGCTCCCCAGAGATAATCAAGGGCAAGCTGAATGCTCCCCCACGAGGTGGTCTCCTAACCAGGCATCTTCAGCTGCCAACAGGAATACCAGAATAGAGTATTAAGCTTTAGTATTTTCCACAGAACTCCAGAGCCTTTTCAACATGCAGCTGACAAAATGCACGTACGTTATGTAGGCAGATCAGTGAGAGTTGCAGTTCTGTGATTGGGAACTGGAGATCAGGGAGAGGAGTTTTCAGCAGATTTTCTGCAAACTCAGCTCCTGGAGAGGCTGCGACCATGATCTGACGTTAATAGGATGTGGGATAGTGAAGGGCGGGAGGAGATGGAGAGGTGGGAAGTAAAGACTTTTTGGGAGATTTTGCGACCTTAATGTTGTAATCCAGACTTACGGTTGGTTGTGCTGGTTAGTTCCCTGTTTCAGGGGCTATAAGACATGTAATTGAGCAGCCCAAGCTGCCCGTGTTTGTGGTGCACTGCAGCTCCTGCTCCACGTGATCTCCAGCTCTGCGTGGGCTGATCGAGGCCGTGCGCTCCCAGCCCGCGTGGCTGCTCCCGCGTGGAGAACCCAGGCCTGAATGTTTGTTTCTCTGCCCTTAAGCATTAGTCAAGACACTGAAATCCGGAGGAGAACTGTTGGTGAAAGCCTGCACCTCTCGCCCCACAAAGAAGAGTCAGCGAAGTCGGACAACGCGGAAGAGGACGATGAGAACATGATGACGACCTGGAAGCCCTTCCTGGTGAACATCTGCATGTTCACCTTCCTCACGGCGGGCGCTTATCTCTGCTACCGGGTGTGTTTCCATTGATGGACATGCCAGCACGGCCGAGCCTGCGGGAACCACCACCGTGTGAGGGGTTTGTAATAAGCTTCTACGAAAGAAAGCTCCCTGAGGCACGGGAGCCTTGTCTCAGTGATGTAGATGTTAGGTTGAAACGCTGGAACTTTGGTTAGGGCTTCAAGAGAGAGTTGATGCACTAGGGTTTAATCTAGCCCTGTGGTCCCAAGAACATAATATTCTAAACTCAGGGCCTTAAAATATTCAGGAGTAAGCAGAAAAAATGCCAAATAGTCTTGTTTTTCTTTTGTTATTTTTTCTTTTGATTTTTTAAACTAAATAATAGAATTACAACACATTGTTGTTTTTAGCCTTTTTTAAAAAGCCAGTTCTTTTTCTTTTGTGTTTCAGAAAACTAGGCACAAGTGAAACTTGCTTGTACTCTCCAAGTGTTGTAACCAAATACATGACTTAAACTGATGAGTTCCCAAAAACAAAGAATGAGAAACCCACATATCTGAAGAATGTAAATGTTTTGGAAGGGGAGGGCTTTTTTTTTTTTTTTTTTCCTTCATCTGTTACAGACTGAGTTGTGGGCAGTGCCTGTGGTATTGATATATTTAATCTTGGCATAACTGTTCTTAAAGAGCTTATTGTTTTACATGTGTTTATAGAAACAGGCTTCTGCATTTGCTCAGGGTATCCCAACAGGTCACGCTTCTTTTTTTTTTTTAATGTATCTCCTCATTGACTTTTGTTGCACTCTACTTGCACATAGGCCTATTCACATTGTCCCATCCTCTGTAAAGCTGTTTCTTTTATCTTTGATCCTGGGTGAGGGGGGAGGGAGAGGAACAGGAAGGGCAATTCAACCAAAACACGTCCACCAGCATTTTACAGCTTTCAGCTGGCATTGAGAAGGACCAGTTCTTAACCTCATCATTTGGAATGTAAAACAGAGTTTCACTCTGAATCTGCTTCCCGCAAAACACCCGGCTTGCAGCGGGGCCGGAGCAGGAGCGCTCGGTCCTCACGCGGGACGCGCGTCCGTAAATCCGGAGCCGGTGACGCGGTGGCAGCCTCCTCGGAACGCGGTTGGGCTGCGGCGGAGCGGAGGTGTCGGCGCCGCTGCAGGGAGCCCCGGGCTGGGCTCATGGGAAGCGCTTGCAGAGAAGGATTTGGCTGCAGCGGTAGAGCTGGAAGTCGGCATTGACCGGAACCGCCTTGGTCAACGCTGCTCCTCTCACTGGTACCAAATTATTAGAGTTCCAACAGTAACAGCAAAGATTTCTTTCCTCGCGTCATGGGGATAGGAGCAAACTCGCTGCTGACAGTTGGAGTAATTGCAACCCACCCATGACAGCTGGTTTGCAACAGTGTTATTAATCATTCTTTGAGTTCTGTCAATCCCTTATAGATCTATAGCACTTAGCCGCCAGTGCAAACATCATTATGGAGTATTTCGCTTGTGTAAGACTGTCCACTCCGTATTTATTTTTGCCAACCTGTCTCTAGGTGTTGCTCTTTTCCTTCGATGACTGGGATGGTGACTAGCGGGGGGGAGTTGCTTCTAGTCTGTGTTTTGTTAAGCTTGCATCAAGGGCTTCTCAAAAGTACAATAATGAATAATCCTCAGGTAGTACTGGGAGTTAATACTGTACCTGTGAGACTGTTGGTCAGACCAGTACTTGAAAGGAGGAATGTTGTAATCAGTCAATATTTAGTAATATTATTGGAAACATGAAAAATGAGTATAGAAAAATGGTAATATATAATGGCTCATCTGTGTATTTAAGATACAGTATGTGATTGCTTTGTCCCCACTATTCTCTCCATCATCTGGTAGAATATTGTTCTAAGGCAACATCTCTACCCCATTTGTATTCAGATGCATGTAAAGTCTTCTAGTGTCCTGATTAAATACCACATGCTTGAAAGATGAAAGAACGTATATTTCTGCTTACTGATGTGCCCAACTGGTATTTGCATGAACCGCTCATTAAGTGGCTG